GATTTTGAATATTCGACGGAATGCTAAAAAGCCACTTCAAATCGGCGATTGCTTATTGTAGCAAAAATGTGTGGCTGTAAGCTACCCTTGAGTGAGGTGCACAGGGCACATTTTACTCCCGTTAGTTGATAATCTTATTTACATTTTCCGTTTGTTTAAGTGGACCGTTTGGTGCTCCGACCATGTGCTTTCAAGGTTGCATGGTGTGTTTTGTTAATTGTGGGGGTGTTCCACGTAAATGTCCGACTGCAGAAACTATGGAGACGAGGTGGAACTAGGCAGTTAGCGTGGACTGGATAATCTAAAGAGAAATAAGATAGATGGAGATGAGACAGGATATCGTGAGCTGGAAATTATTATTGTGATTATGGTCATGCGTTTATGTCCATGGATGAAAACTTGTACCTGTGCAATAGGGTATGTGCCTGCGTATGTATGTGTGAATATGCATTTGTCTTTGAAAAGTGAAGTTTAGATCTATGTTTTTTTGTGAGGATGTGTTGTGTTCGAGTGGGATTTTGTGCACGCCTTATTATGGGATGTAAAGTTCTGTCTTTGCATAAGTGGAATGAAGTACAGACCTGTGCTGATAAGTAGGGAAGTGTCTTTTATTGGTGGAATAGACTATTGCTAATGTTTACACGTGTGAACGAGACTTGTGTAACTGGAACAGAGCCTACAACCATTGTCGCAATGTGCGGACGTGCTTTTGTAGTAATGAGATTGAATACAATCCTATATTGGTGTAGGTAGGAGTCCGCTTTACATTATTGGAATGTTGTATATACCTATGTTGGAATATATGTGGGTAGTGTTTATTATTTAATTGAAGCATGCACCGATGTTCTCATGTGTGGACCCACGTTTGGGTTAAGAGGAGCTTATGTTTAGGTCGAATAATGCGGAAATACTTCGTGCAGGGAAAATTGAACACATATATGGACTGACATGTACGCACTTATTGTTGTTTTTTCGCTTTATGAAGCATATGCTTATACTGTTTTTCTTGGATTCATTTTCTGTTGGCAAATTGGTGTGCATACAGTTGATATTATATGTGGATTTATTTTGGTGTAATTGGAGTAAATTTCACACCCATATTGGCATGTTTACGCATATTCGTCCACTACGGAGGTAGGATGTGTGTGTGTTGATGCATTTATTTTGCGAAATGGAGTGCATCCATATGTTGGCATATTTTGATGTTTTGATGTATTTATATTGAATGAAATGGGATATATATTTCTTCCATTCCCAGCTATGCACCTGCACGTGGTGTTTCACTTCAGTTCTGGTGAAGCTATCGTCTCCATTTAAACAGTGTGATGACAGATTTCCGTTTCTCACTGCAGAAGTAAATCGGCCAGAATGATGGCTATGCTGTGACAGGTGTAAAGACGCTAACCACAATCCGTGCATCTACACATGCTGTATTGACACCCAGATTTGTTTGTCGCTTGAATTTCCTCAATCCCGTTGCTAACCAAACTCTGTTTGTGGATATCTACCCACTTCCCTTTGCTTGCACTGCCTTCTTTTGTTATATTCCATAAGTGTACGCTACTTTAATGTTTTATGTTGGCGAATTTCAATGTATCTTCTTTGCCAATACCGCTTGACAGATGGTCTGTTGTACTTCTGTTCTTTCATCTTTTGAGCCGTGTAGAGCGCATCTCATCCGTATTCTTATCCAAATATACCTTTATGAGTTGAGACGTACGTGTATGCATGTTTATCATGGTTTGCGTGTGACAGGTGGCTGCAAGTGAGCAAACTCTAGGGTGGATCACCTAGTAGGCAAACTGGTGGCAGTAGCTGCAGTTGACACTTTGAAACCCATTGTGCCGTCATCGTCTTCAATTCAGTGGAGTTTGTAGGTATTGCTCTCAATGGTGAAAGCTGCACCACTTTCTTGAACCAACTTGATGTTAATGCCTGACTGCTGACGTGAGTTAGTTGGTATGCCGATAAGAACGAGGAGTGAAGAGACTTATGTCTGACTTAATATGTCCCGCAAGTAAGCATCAAGGCTTTTTCCGGGTGCCCTCCGATGCGAAATTCCCTTCCTCGTAGGAGACCGGCTGTTCCGTGTGTGCTAGATGGAGGGATGCAAACATCGGGGCAGATGCATGCATCACCTCTCGGACAACCACATTTGGTGGCATGCTGCAGCCAGAAACCATCCAATCGGTGAGTGTTATGCGAATGCTGGTAGCAGACCATTTACCAGTCTCCTTCGTGGTATCATTTGATGCTCGTTGTAGGACTACGCACGAAATTGAATTAGTTGGTCATCTTGATTTTTGAGATAGGCATAGAATTCGGGGTCAAGATGGTGGATGACAGCATCACCGCCATCACCGTACTGTACAGTGCTTGAAGTTGTCGGTAGGCGTAAGAAGGTGGATTTGCCGTCATTGTTGACAGGAAGTTGAATACAACACCACACGCTGTTGCATGCATGCACTCATCAACTCGGATGCACAGTCAATATTGTAGTTGTCTGTCATCTCACATTGACGAATATTGTGTTGAAAAGCACCATCCAGACACTGTTAAAACAACTGGCGTAAACTCGCCAATGATGGATAGGTGCTTCATGGCGGTAGGGACTTATTATTTTGGGATGAAAAGAAGAACTGCGTGATAATAACGCGGTGTGTGTACTACCTCAACCTCCTCGAATGTCCGCATCACCCTTCACGATGGAGTTATGGGTCGTACCGTGGATAGCAGTAGCGTTTAGACCCATCAAATCGGGTGGGAAGAGGGCTCTAGGACAGCGGAAGCGCTTGTCACCAGTGGTAATCATTTGACCTTCTGGCGGTTTACAGAAGGGCCCTAAAACGGGACTGCAATTAGACATAATCATTTTCTGCTTCAAATTGAATACCAGTTTACAGATGCTCCCTTTCCCATTACGAATAAATTCGCCTCCTGTTGTAGTGGTAAAGCTGTAACCACGCTCAATTGTCAACTTGACAAGGTGGTTTGCTAAATCTCAACCGAAAGGTCAAGGTGTAGAGTAGCACAAGGAAGTGCATTACTTTTGTAGGTGGAGACGGTATAAATGGGAGTCACCAGAGTCCAGCACGACCTCACTTGTACTACCAGAAAGGCACAGTGGAATGAGAAGCGGATCTCAGGGAAGAGATGAAGGAATACGGATGATTATAAAGACCACTGTAATGTTAAATCATACTGCTGACTCCTGCATCTTCAAATGTGACCTTAGAGTGTCTGTGCAAAGTGCTGACAGCAAGGTGAATGCATGTGGCCAAAGTGATGTCTTCGAAGGAGACAATGTGGCATGATGAAATGTCTCCTGTAAAACACGATCAATGCCTTCTTATGAGGATGTAATTGGTACGCATTCACACTGCGAAAAGTAGGACCACTGTTGGACGACAAAATGTACAGGAGAGTACCTATACTCTGAACTGAGTACTCCTGCCTCGTATGGTAAATTGCACTCCTTTCTGCAATGTGCTCAGTGTAGGGAACCAAAGGATTTCTTTCTCCCATGCGTCCATTCAGATGGCAGTTTTGCATCCGGGGTGGCAGTGCATACGCGGAAAGTATTCGGAGGTGGAGTCCAGTCCTGGTGTAATTGGATCGTTACTCATCTGTCTGACTGACCTGATGTCTCGGATGGCCCACAATAGAGGAGAAGACGTCACAAAGCTCAACATTGCCAACAAAATCAACGATGCACATGCCTGAACCGTTGCCATTTACTGAAACTGCGGTGCTTTTTCAGCTAAATGAGCCAAGCCTGACATTGGTGATGTGGTGCTCGCGCCACCTTGGCATGGTGAACACTTTTACTGCACTACTCAGCACCGATGTTTCCTGCATTGATGAGGTGACCACTTCACCAGAACTGGTCTATCCAGTGGTGAGGCTTGGCGCGAATCGCCAGCAGTGCTGTGACAGGTAGAGCTTTTCCAATTGAACGAGCAGAAAAGGGCAAGTCTATGTATCCATATCGGTACTCGTGAATGCGTTTCAGTACTATGGCAATGGTTTCTATCCACATGTTGTCATGTGTGCATGCATGTATTTTGTGCAGTTGATTTGGTCCATCAAAGCATCTTTTAGGTGGGGATGCATTTGGACATCATTGAAATTATCCTTACACCCTTGTTTGTGTGCATTACAATCTTTGTATTTTGGAAACATTGTATACACATATGATGGGAAGCGTAGATAGATATTGGTACTATAGTTGTCATTTTTATGAGCGGCTGAGGTTCTAATTATTACCTCTTCTATACATTCGCGTTCGAATGTGTAATTTCAATTTGGCATCATTAACGTGGTCACTCTGCCATGTAAGTGTGTGTCAGTGCAAATCTGCGCTATTGGGATGGCCTTTACACCAGGTTATTACATGTGGATGCATGTTTGTGCAATTAAAACGTTCTGCATCTCTGCGTTTTTATGTGTGGGTGTCATTTTACCGCTAGAACGATCGGTATCTGCATGATTTCTGAGGGTATGAATGTTGGTATTATTTAAGTGGTCTGCATCCTCATGATGTTTGATGTGGACATACTTTTGCACTGCTTAAATTGGCGGTATGCCTGATTTGTGTGCTTGGATGCATCAATGCATTGCGGGAGCGGTCTGCTCACCTGCGCTTTCATTTGTGGATATTTTTGCATTACTGAAATGCTGTGCGTACCCAATTTAGAATCGGTTGACATATTCCCGCGTCATTGGAGGCTTCCACAATCCATGTTCCTACGTGTGGGCTTGTTTAATTCACGACAGTAAAATATAAATTATAAGAATTTGTCCACAAAAAATGCCAAAAATTTATTAGTAGTGACAGTGAAGAGTGCATCCAATGCGTGCATCATGGAATTGGACTGAATTCGAAGTAAGAATTCCACCTGTTGTTTCTGAAATGCAACATCGATGTGATGTAGGTAGCGCAGCAGTTGATAATCAGTTCAGTCGAACATTGCAAACCTCAAAACGCTGTCTAAATGCAACACTCGGAACCGCATGTTTCACATTCCACTAGCAAATGCAGTTTTGCGTGACACGGTCAGGAATATTATCACTATACTCATCTCAAAATGCAAAATAAACGACTTGCAAGTTAAGGTTTTATGTTACTTTGCAGAATATACTCCAAGAATATGCTCTCTGTCAAATTGCTAGACAAAGGCACAGTTGACATCACTTGTGCTAGGGTATTCCCGTGACATAAGAGCCCTCTAGTAGGTGTCACAGATTGTTAACAACTGTTCCTCAGATTGGTCTCATTATGCTTGCTTCGAATGCATGGGTCGGATTCTCAATGCACAGCACATATATGACCGCATCTGAATGGAACCTTCGCTACATCCTTCACAACGCGTGACACGTACTGCGCACAACAGTCGCAAATTGCTTCATGAAATGCTTTTCCTGTCTGCCTTAACTCTACGTCGATTTCTTCCTCAGCATCTGCCCACAAGCCTCGGTCCTGTCAACGAAGATCGGGCAATCTCCAAAGTCCTCACCTCTTCGCTTGTGTAGTTGAGAGTTCGACAGGATGCAGATCACACACGCACGCGCGCACACATGCACAATGAAACATGGATCCCAGCTCATGACAATTGGCGATGCATGCAGGCATGCAGGCAGGCAGGCAGGCAGACCGGCGGGCAGGCAAGTAGGCACGTGATGACACTCGAATTGCATGATCTGTCCCAACTGGCCCTAAAAAGCCCACATAGTACGCAGACTCACCCATCCACCCACTCACCCCTCTAACCATCAGCATCAAAATGCACGTTTTTAAGACTATGGTAGTTGAAAGTCCACTATACCATCGCTAATTGTTGAGTTGTCTTGAATTTCTCCTCATTTCCTGCACCACAGTCTGGGGCATGTCTTCGCGGTAATCCGCCCGTTGTAACCTCAATGCCATGCGTGGCACTAATGTTTAATCACTTCTGCTAAGCAGCCCAACTTGTTGATTTATCATCACAGATTGGCAGTGAGTTCCTCAAATCAAACCTCTTGATGCAAGGTATTTTCTAGTCTAGTCGATTGCAGCCACAACCATGAGGGATTAAGAAAGAATTCTGAGTCTGATCTTCGCCAAGAGTGAGGTAATGGGAGAAGGGAATGCGGGAGGGACGAGTGTGAATGCTGCATTTGTCAATTTCTTACCTATCGGAAGTCCGCATTTGAGTTGCATAATGTCATACCAGGTGAGGGCAAATGAAACAGCAACCAGTGGCGGAACATCCTGGATATTGCACACACTCAACACTTTCTGCTTACTGTCTGACTCATTCGTGGTGCGGAAAGCAGGAGGTTCGGGGGAACGAACAGTCGGCTAAATTCGCGATGAACTTACACCAACATTTTCGGCAGCACCAGATATGGGACTCGTAAGGATTGTGTCCGTTAACCAGCAATCATTTACACAGCCAACTGCTGTCAAACTCCGTCGAAAAATCCGTTCACCTCTCCAATCGTTCATTCGTTCCCGGTGCATTCATTCATCCAATCAGTGCCGACTTACTCACTCAAGCCACTCATTCACCCGCCCACTCCTCCATCACCCGGGATACTTTAAGGAGCAGGCTTTGGTGTTTGCTGTGAACCAATCCCAACTTCACTATTTTGTACGCGCAGACTGATTGCGGACACAACGCCACTTTACAGTCCATGGGCCACTCATCTACGCATGGGTGTAAACTCCATGCAGCTGCACACCATGCAGCGGCATCGATGGGGGAAAGCCTTGTTTGGGTGTAGAAGGATGCGAACATCTGCAATCGGTTGAGAAATCAATTGTCAAGTTGGCTTGACGACGTACATGTACAGGCAATTTAGTGCGTTTTGGATGATTGACAAAGCCATTCGCTGAGGCAGTCGCAAACCAGCTAATACGCCTTCTTTGCTCCTTGAGAGCAAACCTCTTCATCAAACTAGACAGGAGTGATATCTCGCATTGTGCACACGTAGACAGGCAAAGAATATCCAGATGGCTTATGATGGGACGACGTGGAGTGACGTTATTATGAAAAGAGGAGGGGTAATCGACCATATTGGTCTAACAACCGAATTCTACTCATTGTTCAAGATTGCAAGATGCCTTGCCCTCCTCAGTGATTTCTACAGTTGGGTCGTTCACAAGTAAGAGGCGTGCAAAATTGTGCCTTCCAACTATTGTAACCTCAATCAACAATTTCGCATTTTTGGCTGCTGATGGTGCGGATTTGCAAAGAATCAAGTTGTAAAGGCGATTGCAAAGTAGTTTCGAACGTAGTGGACGGATAGCATTGAGGTGAGTGCTAACAAACAACGGTTAAAATATGATCAGACATAAATACACTCAAATAAGGCAGTTGTAGTAAGCAGTAATCCGGCTCGTGCTTGCTTGACAGATGTTGAATTAACAACGACTGTAAGTGTTCATTCTTCTTGTCGTAACGCTGAGTAGGCAAAATGGTTATGGAGGAGTCCTTACGATGGAACAGCGGCATTGCGATTAATTAAACAGGGTGCTGTTGAAAGCAGTCAATAATTTGCTTGAGGTGAGGGTGCCAGCATATTGGATCAAAGCTTCTCTTTGCACAGCCATCTACAATGTGCACACTTTTAAGCAGCGCAGATCTGATAGCAATGCGATGGTGCCAACTACTGCAAGTGGAAATTAGGTCAAGTCTTACCCCACCCATGATCTACCCTTAAGAGGACCAAAGCAGCACCAATAGACCGGACAATTTGAAACCACCTCTTCACCAATTACACAAACGCACCGATCATTGAATGCACAGTAAAGGCTCCACAGACATTTATCCAGGCTTCAAACCTGGTGTTCTAAAAGCCTGCTGGTCATGCTCAGCATTGCCGTCATACACTTCTCCATGTCTGCGTCCGGTGGAAAATCTTGCCTTACAAGTTCAACAGAGAGACGTCTCCAACTTCAGTTTGTGAATATTACAATACTTAGGTGAAGACGACACTAACGTTGTGCACAGCTACCGATTGGTCGTAAATAGCGCCTATAGCATGTAGAACAACTCGTGGACTTACCGCTCTAGTAACTGCAGGATTCTACGATTCGCTCCGCAGAAATTGGTATTTCTTCTGCTCAACTTACGTAAGATACATGTGTTGGCTGCTCCAGCATGCAAAACCACCCTAATCATACGTGTTAATTGCATAGCCTTGCCAACAAAGCTCGGATGCAGTGAGGGCTCACGCAGGCTGGCAGTCAAATTAGAGCTTGGTATTGCACAATGCTGTTGCCTCAAAATTTGTTAGGACATCACGATATCGCCTTGGCAATGTGGCCTTGAGGCGCAAATATTAATGTTTAAAGTAGTGCAGTTTCACTTCACGTTACCGCAACCTTAAAGCTCTTAGCGAAGCGATTTGTTGTTGTTTTCTTCTCAACTCCCATGGTAGGTTTAGTAAATTAGACACCTTTCATTCATGAACTAACCGTTAATCAATGCCTCTCAATGGCGACGTTGCATAAAAGTTACTTCTCCTTTGAACACCGACTGCCAATTTTCAGTGTTACGATTTCTACCGCAGTAATGCACTCGAATTGGCTGATGCTTAGCTCGCATTTAAGCTGAGTGTGTCTACAAGGTAAGGATACTCAAGCATTCTTCCATTGTTCCACGTCAGTCAATCGTTTTCTGGATGGCTTGCGGGATATTTTAGCAATTGTCAATTGAGATTGCGTGCTTTCCCTGTTTCCAGCATATTTAAGATATGGAGTAGGAAGTCCTATTCTGAGTAGGTAGTTAATTTTCAGGAAACAGTTGCGCAGACACGGCTGACCACGGCAAATATACTAGATCCAAAATTTCTCAAATATTTTGCAGTTAAAATGAAATAAATCACTTCTTAACAAAGGCACTTTCTCCCTTAGGCTAAACTTGGTATTGTGCATTGAGGCGATTGCTAACAAGCAACAGTTAAGGTCATTTTATAATCAGGCAGGAGTACATCCAAATATATCTTTTATTGTAAATAGCAATCTGGTCTATAATGATGGCTGATGCGTGATTAGCCAACGACCAAAGATGTTCATTTTCTAGTCGAATGGGTGATGTATTTAACTTATTTACAGAATATGTCCTTGTTTTACAACGGCCCCTTTTGAATGACCAAACTAGTTTTTATTACAAGTAAGTAGGAGTTTGCTCTTGAAAAGAATACGAGCAAACTTTAGTACTTTCTACAGATAGCCGTTTATTCTGTGTCCAAAATCACACAGGCAAGGTCTGCTACCTCATCCAGGATCTACTTTCAGTGACAATACATCATCGTAAAATTATCAAGCACACTCTGACTATATTTCCACCAATCAAGTTCACCGTTCTCTGCATCAACCATTGCGTTCATTGCAACCATTCCATAGACATTTCCCTACGCTTTAAAATCTGGGATCCAAAGCACCTGCTTTTCTTGCCCAGCGTTTGACTAAAAATAAGTGTATTTTGTTTGAATCTTCTTATTGACACTCACATGAGCATTACACGATGCTCTTTGGCTCGCCTTAGCAAATACATGCCTTACAATCTTTACTTAGGAAACCCGAATTTAGTTTGCAGAGTTAACCAAGCCTCGCTCAAGAAGGCGCCAAAGTTGTTCAGTACTACCAGTTGGCCATAATTAACACTTAGAACCTGTGGTTGCGCAAAATCCGAACAGCTCATGGACTAAGCCTTCTGTCAACCGCTCGAGTCTGCAATTTGATCAACAGAACTGAATATTCCTTCTGCCTAACTTTTTCATGGTAGACGGGTTATGTGTTTCGAGATGCGAATTCACCCACCAATCAGTTGTAAAGCTAATTACTTCCACAGTTTTGTTAGCAAAATCGAGAGCACTGAAGCCTCACGCACGTTGAGAGTCAAAATAAAGCATTTTCTTGCGCTTTGCTGGCCCTATAAAAATTTGTTAAGAAATCCCAATACGTTCTTAAGAGGACTGCCTCAAAACAATATTAATAATGTTTAGGTTTATGCTGCTGACCTTTCCGCATTGCTGCAACTAGGAGCATTTTGAAAAACAAATTGCCGCATACTTTCCACCTCACATGGTAGGCTATGCAGACTAGGCATTTTCTTCATTCACGGTACTGTTGTGATAGTCGTATCACCGAGGAATTAAAACACAATAGTGTAACTGACAGTTACATTCAGGTATTTTGTCACTATGAATGGGTTAAACTTAGGGATAAAACATTGCGCTAAAATCAGTTGTTTTATATCTGCGTGCGCCCAAGCTATTATCATTTATAGGCCAAAGGATTAATGCAAACCCCTAACTATGATAATTTGGATCAGTAATCATCATGCTTAGGTGGACATGAGGGCAGTAATTGCTGTGTGGAACAATGTTAGGTCGGTACATTGCAGCCAAGCAGCGCGTTTGGGATGTCGTAGTCCTGTGCTAAATGTAGTTGAAGCTGCACTCAATATCTTGGTTAGTGATGTAGGAGAGGGAGTTGCTAGTGTTGCGTCTGTTTTGCAATTTTATGCCTTCGCATGACAAGAGATGTAATTGAGATGTGCCTGAACACCAGGCTGTAAGCTAGCATTGTAAACAGTTTCTAAGACGATGAGTGGCATTTGCGGTGACATCATTGCTTAGTAGAGTTTGTGGTGATGATTACGTGTCAAAAGACCGATGTACTTTTGACAGAAATCCTAGGCATCCGCAAAATCCAGCTCGCTTTCATGACTGCAGTTAATCTCGCGATTTTATTTTCTTCAAAACGAAATGGCACAAGCAAATGGAACTGGAGAGTATTAGGTACAAATTGTGGGTATTTTTAAAAAAACTCCTGTGCATGACTTCATACTTGTGTAGGGAATGGGAAGGGTGAGGAATAATATTTGTCGGTAGCAATGACGGACTATAAACAAACAGAAATTTTAAGACAGTTTTGTAGTGAGCTCCATTTACTTTTAACAGTATGTGGATCAATAGAATCCTACGCTTAAAGAATTTCCCAAAAATACGCTACAACAGTCGCCAACATCATTCAACAGCATCAATGTACCAATCGAAATGTGTGTCCTCCAGACGTGACGTTGTAGCATAAGTCCTGGGTAATCCCACTTTCTGAACCCTTCTGTCTCAAACTTGACCTAAGCATCAGTCAAGCATAATACATAGCCGATATAGAAGCCAAAATCTCGATTGCACGACCTTGTGCAACTTCTGGCGAGACTATAATCCTAATTAAACTATTATTTTCCTGGGCACATTCTGCTCTCAACAGCAATATACGGTGTAGATTTGATGGCGATGAGCCTTTATTGACAGAGTAGCACCTAAACCAATAAGATCAACATCGTCTACAATGGTAGAACGAAGCCTAGCTAAAAGGCAGCTTACAAACATAGTTATTGAGTGGGATTTGCAAATGGATGGGGCTTGGAGAGGGGGCAACTGCAGATGATGTCATTCCAGAGGAGGGAGGGGTCTGTCGAAACAGAGGGTCCGGGGATCTAAGAGCTCAGCAGCGCTCTGCTTTGGTAAGCGCACAGACCCTGCGTTTAGTCTGTGCATGAAACCACACAGGCGACAATCCAATCTGTTCGGGCTCTATGGTGCAGAAATGAACAAAGCCCTTTGAGAAAAACGTACATTCATCCAATCATTCGTTCATTTCCGACTCAATCAATCATCCATTCATTACGGTCGTTTTCACGCAGGTATTCATCCACTTGCAAAATCCCTTGTTCCCTTGACTACTTGGAGAAATCATCTTTGGTGTCAGCTGGGCAACAATTCCAACTTCCATATTTCGTACATGGAGACTAATTACGGCCTACGTAATACGCCTCTATGCACTGCTGCAAAGCACGCAACAGCAATAATGAAGCCATAAAATACACGTGGCAGGTTGAGAAATTATTAAATTTGCTTAAAGAACACGACTTATTGCTTTGCAATGATTGACACATTATTTTGCTGGGAGAGTTGCAAGTATCAATTAGCAAACGCCCTGTGCACTTTCTTTTACAGTTGAACTCAAATTTCTTTGCACTATAAAATCTCTTCAACGTTGTCAATTGCAGTCGCTCGATATGGATGCCCCATTTCAAAAAGAACCGAAGCACTAGCATCTTTGGGATGCGAATACCTGCTCACCATTTTCAATTTAGTTATTAGTTCTCCCATGCCTTCAATATACAAGGAGATTTTGACCCATTTTACACGCAATGGGTCCCATGCTCTCCACACACTCGTAGCTGGTAGGCGTAGCCAACTTCTTTTGATTCACACAACTTAACGTGAATTATCGCCAGCACATTAACACAAAAAAAATAATCCAGAATTCTATTATGCAGGCATATTCGACAAATTGTTTTAAAACTTGTTTGCTATTGCCTCGCTTCTTCATTAATCACATTATTTGCCACTTTATTCTGAGAAATGAATTCGCTTACTCGAGCACACCTAACTAATGGTGATAAAGGTAATGGCCAGACACTTACGAGAAATTTCCCATGCTCTTTCCAGGCGAAATAGGCTGCGTAGGCGGTGTCGTTTCCATCCAAGTGGAGCAAGTAGTCGGTCAATTCACGAACCGACTTGTAGTCATCCACATTAATGTACGAGTGCGGAGGCAATGCACTTTCGTAGTCGGCCTTGAAGGCACCAAGTACAATGGGAATCATGTCGTGTCTGCACACCAAAATGTGTAATGAATGAACGATTGAATGAACGACTACCCCATCAGAATAAGTGGTTGAATGAGTGCAAAATGAAAATATAAATACCCTTATTCTAGCACCGTGCGCAGGAAACATTAAAGACTTCAGGAAATCCACTGTTGCTAAAGTGAACCAGCTACGAATTGTGCGTGAAATGCCAAAATTAACCGAAACAAATAGGGGGTGTGTGGGAGGTACGTAAGCCCATCACATGAAATTGGGAATGTGAATATTCCTTTTCTGTTCAATTGGACCAATGTACCATAATGCGAATGGAACAACACATAGGCATGCCAAGTGGTATCCATGACTGGGTGCAACCCATGCACTAAACTCATGCCTCGCCCTGCGTCCTCACGGCCCCGTGCACGTACAGTCGCCGTTTGCTTTGGCAGGAGCAAGCGGGTCGTCAGTCGTTTTAATTGAGGAGTTTGAGGGTCAGCGAATTACGGGAACTCCTATTCAGCAGTGCATGCCATGCTACTCACATCAATTTCCTCTAATGGTCATGTCAGGGTGGTCAGTTCTCAGATACTTGATACCGGCTATCAGCTACCTTTATGGGTTTGCTTTTTTCTGTATAGCTTGCAGCCGCATCATCTGGACCCAACATGCTTTTACTGTTTAACGCAAATTGGCAGGAGAAATAAAAGGTGAGCACAATTTATCGTGCTGATCTTTTACGTTAAGGTTGATAAGGCTGCTAGCTAAGGGTAATATTACGCACTGCATGGCGTTGAAGTAGACCTTTTCCGTTATGTAATTGCGACAGTTGGAATTCTCAAAAGAGAGGTAGAACTTGTAGTTTAGCGATAGAAAATGAAACGTTTTGACATTTGGTGGAAACTTCAATCCGTTGCGGCCGTATATATCCACCTACAAAGTGGAATAAAAATGTTTTGGTGACTCGGCACTGTAGCAGTAAAGCAGCGCATTATTTAAATGTCTTTAAGTAGTGGAAAGATCAAGGTATATATTTTGCATAAAAACACACTGATTCGCCGTAAATTGTCTTCATGACAAAAAAGTATTGAGGTAGGGCAGACATTTGTAACGCAGTGACGCCAAAACTAGCCCGAACTTCAATTTTTATTAGTAAGGTGTGAATTTGGAAACAGGTACTGTGGAAGCACATGAACATTTTATGAGAGCATACATAATTTCTAGAAATACCTATTTTGTTAATTATCAAGTCCCTATAATTAACCCATAAGAATTGGCTTTGTTATTTAACAGGGCTGTCTAATAAATGACACTTGTAGGTGTCATTTGCTCTGAGGATATTGGTACCAGATCGAGTTTGGCATTGTAGTATGCAACAGAGGACGTTGGCTTATTTTGTGTTCCATTCTCATGTTTCTGATCAAAGGAGATGTGGTAGTGCTTAAGCTGGGTTAAATCGAAAGCCATAAACTTCCTTTAATGACCAATGATGTGGAAGGCGATGTCAATTTGAAAAGTATCAAAGTACGCTTTAATTTTTATGGCATTACCAGATGGGGAATTGGTGAACCAGTAACCGCCTTACGGGAATGAATTTGGCAATCGCACTTGCATACTCAGCTCTGTTATTCTTGGCGTGGTGATTGGAGACGGCCCAGGCAATCATCTTCCTCCTGCTCCGATGATGAGGGGGCAGTAGATGCACGTAGTTCTTGGACAGCATAAGTGCGGCTTCTTCTGCGGTGAATGCATACCTCGGATTCCTATTCCGCACGAATATGGAGTATATATAGGGCACCGGAGATTTGGCCATGTACGTAATGACTAGCTCGATCTTAATTAACAAAGCAAATTATACAACAAAATCACCTCGATGTTACTGCTTCATTCAAATTAACTTTTCTACTCTTGAGTAAAATCAAAATACTTATGTAAGGTAAGATAATTAATTTAAACAGTGCGATAAGGAGAGAATAGCGCTTAGCCACATTCTTACTCTATTAGGATCCTCCCTTACTTTTTCTAAAGTGTGTCTCCTCCTATCCTTCAAGTCAGCTGTACAAAACGTTCTCTTTATCCATAAAGCACACTGGTTGTGCCTCACTTGTTCTACTTTCCCAGGTGGTCCCCCTCATCATTCTTTCTGATGGCTTATCCATATACAGCGGTGCAGGTGTTAAATGTTTTGCGATGTCTTACATAGTTCGACTAATTAGACGTGCTAAAGTGTTGTGGAACAACTGGATAAAATGCTCGATCAGGACATTAGGACTGAGCTTGAATCGCACTATCCTCATTTATCACAATCCATTGTCGATTGTTATGGTGGCACAGGGCCTCGTGAACAAACGATTGCAATAGTCATCGACAATCTCATTAGTCAAGACATCGAACGGCATCAGTGTACCTTACAAAATCGTGATTTTTACACAATAAAGGGAGTTATTTACATGTAGAAAGGGAACATTTGCAACAGAAGTAAGTGCAAATGTGACCAAAAGGTGGAAGATCGAGGAATTCCACAGAAGTGAGTATAGCACTTTGCACACCCTCCTGTGTGCATCGAGTAGAACTTGAGTCGCCTTCAGTGGCGTAAGAACATTATGCTAGTCCATTCTGCAAGTACTACAAGTTCCTACCTACACAAATAAGACTTTCTGGTTCTAAATTAAAGACAGGCTTTCCATTAGCACTATGGGATTCAGTGCAAGTTGTTTAATAAAAATGACATGGAGAATTTGCCGCTGGTAAGGGTGTTCAAAGAATTTAGAGTGGCAGGCGCAAATACTGCCGAAAAATGGCTTATAGCTGTCCGACAAAGGCCTTTATGCTGAAACGTGTGTCCGCTGCCAGCGTCACATCCGTGACGTCCTGTGTTTCTTGCTCAAACACTGAATAGTGGCACAGAAATTGTAATTGTGTCTGATTTAGAGAAGTAAAGGCAAGTCGTTTTGTAGCGAAATATTAGCATCTTTTTGTTTCTCTGGCTGCTGTATCACTTTATCTTAATAAACCATTTAACCTCTGGTAAATAGTGCCCTCTAACGCCCTGATAGTGGAGGCGTTTATGATGGAGACATATTTACAAGGTGATTGCATCTACATTAAAGAACCCACCAAAAACTAATGCATTAGCATCGCTTCACGCATCACTCACTTGGTCTAGGTGTTCAGGGAGGAGAGCGGGGGCGTGGAGAGGACTTTCGCCTGTCTCGAAGGTGACGAAAACACCCCGTTTTTTGAGGCTGATGCCTTCTTCAACAGGAAACTGGTTTGAAAAGACGGCTGCATCGCCTCGACTGAGATGTTGGGTGGTGTTTGCAAAGATGCATTTGTAGCGACAACCGTCGGAAGTGGTTGAGTGATAGAGAAACTGTCGGTCATAGTAGATCATTGGCAGCTTTGCCGACGAAAAATCGGTCTAACGTTGGAAAGTATACTTTCACTGTAATGCAACCGCTTGCATGATTCAAAGCCATTGCGAAATGAATAAATATATATATGTATATATGTTGATACGCATGACTCGGGAGGTTTCCCAAAGGTTAGAGACATTTAAATTTGTGACAGTATCGCAATTTTTATCTTGGAGTAAGTGTATAAGAATCAAAGACATGCGATCTAGAACATTGCAATTTTCTTCACTACGGCAGTTGATTTCGTAATTTTGGGACATGTAGAAGCGAAAGTACATCATCCTATCTCCAGAAAGAGCATGAATATGCATGTTATTTATTCAGGGCGTTTCAGTGAATTAAAGTAAAATATGGCAAATGGCATTGTGAATTTTGATTTTGAGTTTATTTTGCGAAATTAAAATAAAACCTTGGCAGTAAGTTGTTTGAACTATAGCACGTATGCTTGTTTTTAAAATACTATCATATGTGGTATTCTTACTGCGGAGAATAACAAGCCAAATAAACAGATTTACTATGTTGTCTAATTTAAAGCATTTAAATCGCAGCTCACATTGGAGTGCGAATCATGGAATGTGAGTATGTTTCGTTTAAGGCAGTCATTAAAGATGGGAAAGTGGAGAAGCACAAAGGAACATACTTTATTTGTCGAGATTTCCGTTATCCACTCCATCTGATCGATTACATGGTGATAGGGGAATAAATTGGTGGTTTCGGAAGAGGTGGTAAAGGGCAAAAACTCACGTACTATCAGAAATTTATCATTCAAAATGACATTCCATCTGAGCGTTAGCAGTGTCAAGGCCAGAACAACTGACAAGAGCGGCAATGCAAGTAGTCTAGCCGTATTCATTACTGAAGATTTTCAGTGTAGTATTCAGAGCGCTTGTATAACTACTCGGCAGAGCGCGATCAGACAGAATATTACATCTGATTGGCAGAAACATCAACATTAACTTCAGAGATGTGCATAGAATAAATCGCCTGAGGAGAATGACGAAGTCGTACTCCATAAAATTTGCTAAAACCAATAAAACTACCTGAATAGAGATTATGGCAATGTCTACAAAAGTACTTTTAAATTTCGGTGACATTTATGACTGACTGATCCACAGGGAACGATGATATACTTTTAATATGCATAACATCAAATTTAAGTTAAGGGAGGAGGTGAGTCCTTAAGAAGTGATTTATTTCATTTTTACTGCAAAATATTTGGGAAATTTCGACTCTTGTATAGCTGCCATGATCAATGACGTCTTACTTGTGAACGACCCAACTGTAGAAATCACTGAGGAGGGCAAGGCATCTTGCAATCTTGAACAATGAGTAGAATTCGGTTGTTAGACCAATATGGTCGATTACCCCTCCTCTTTTCATAATAACGTCACTCCACGTCGCCCCATCATAAGCCATCTGGATATTCTTTGCCTGTCTACGTGTGCACAATGCGAGATATCACTCCTGTCTAGTTTGATGAAGAGGTTTGCTCTCAAGGGGCAAAGAAGGCGTATTAGCTGGTTTGCGACTGCTT